CCTGGTCACTGAACTATCTGCAGAAAATCCTTCCAAGGTTTATTTTTCTACTCTTCTGTGGAATATGAAACAAGTTTATCAATCTTACTGCTCATTTCATGCCGAATAAAGTTAGGAAAGTCCTAAATGCAGATCTAAGAGGTATAATATATTTAGTATAATCATTTTATGACAATTTGGAGGTTTATGTTTTTTCTGCTTGTGTCTTATATATTTTTCTGCTTATATCAGTGTATTGTTTATACAGACCTATGTTCTATTATTTCAGTTACTCCCTAAAACAAACTTATATGAAAAACCTTTTAAAGAAAAACAAAAAGTAGATAGTGCTAAACATTTTAGCTCATGGAAGGAGGCTGGGCTGGGTGGGAGTAGGAGTCCCCAAACCACTGTTGCAGTAGCGAGGTGAGTGGAGTTTGGTGAAGTGATACTTCAGGTTTGAGATGGGATTGGACGAGCAAGGCAGGATCCTCTGCCTCTTGCACAGACCTTCTCCCTTCCCTGAGATCTCACATCCCACCTGCCACAGGGCTGTTGAGGAGACGCTGAGGGTACCGGGAAACCAACTCACTTGGCAGTCAGAGCCTCATGCTCTGAGGTTCAAGGTGCTCAGGTGGGGAGGAGGGACGCCGTTCCGGAGGGAGAGCCACAAAATACCTTAATTTGAGCCCTTCCCTACCCCTGCTGATGAGGGACTTGAGTGTTGGTTCTCTTTCTTGCCCTTCCTTCCCTTCTATCCTTCCATGAGTAGGGGAAAGGGTGTTTGTGGTAGAGCTTGGTTTCCAAAGCATCTGGCTTCTTCACTTCACATTCTCAAGTGGCAGTGTCATTATCTAGAATGGAAGGTGGAACATCTTTTGGGAATCTAAAGCTTTGCATATGAGAGGGCATAGGGAGGTGTCTGTAAAACACCTTAGAACTTTTTCCCTTAATATCAGAAAGCAAAAAAATAAAACTACAGTTGAGATTTGCCTTTTAAACCCTCAGGCTTGCCTCTGATCCGGTGACCCTGGTCACTGCCAGAATACTGGAATGCTGGAAGCAGGAGACCTGGTTCCTTTTTGTGTGTTTGTTCTGGACTCTTGGAGTGGAAATGAGAATGAGCTTATTCCTACTGAGGCCTGATCTCCCCAAAAGCCCCAGGGCCAGTCTTTCCCAATGGAAACTCATTCCAAATACTTACCTTTCCCCCTGGAGTTCTAGAAGTAAAATGGAACTCTGGTTCATACCGGGGTCCCTAGGGGAGCTCTAGACGCAAATGGAACTCTGGTTCATACCGGGTCCCTTTTGCAACTGCAGGTTTTTAATGTGATCATTTTCAAATTTAAAAGATTCCAAGTGGAAATTTTTATTTTATTTTATAATTTTTTTTGCGGTTTTTGGCAGGGGCCGGGTTTGAGCCCACCACCTCCAGTATATGGGGCTGGCGCCCTACTCCTTGAGCCACAGGTGCTGCCCAGAAATTTTCATTTTTTTAAATAAGGCAGAGTTACTCTGTCACCCAAGGTAGACTACCTAGAGTGCTGTGAGGTCACAGCTCACAGCAACCTCAACTCCTAGGCTCAAATGAGCCTCTTAGCCTCCCGAGTAGCTTTGACTACAGGTGCTCACAACACCTAGCTAGTTTTTCTATATTTAGTAGAGACAGGGGTCTCATGCTTGCTCAGACTGGTCTCGAACTCCTGAGCCCAAGCAATCCACCTCCCTCAGCTTCCCAGAGTGCTGGGATTAGTGCTGGAGCCACTACGCCTGACCTCCAGGTGGAAATATTTTTACTATGTGGGTAATAATTCTACTAAATAGCTGAATTCTTAACATTATTATGTTTCAGTATAAGTTGGCTTTATCTTTTCACGTCTTTAATCTGTTTTTATCCCTCTAATCAGCTGCCTGGTGTGAGAGTTTTGGGGGAATAATATGTGGGTCTATATAGACATGTTTCTCAGCATGCTGTTATTTTGGAAAAATGAGAGGAGGGAGCTTTGAGAGATTGGAGGACATGGATGAAGACCTTATCTCCCCTTCTTTCAGTGAATAAATGAAACACCATTTCTGGAAAGAAAAAAGAAAAGGATGACAAGAAACTCATCTTTAATTAGCCATGAGAACAGCAGCTACTGTTGACCCTGCCACGCATTAACCCGAGAATTGCATTTCCTCATAACCACCATGAGTAGCATAAAAGACCGCTAAGGGCCAAGGACGCTGCTGTCCAGGAACACACAGGATGGGTGGGAGGTTGAGGAGGGACAGCCACTGGGCTCTTCACGCACTCTGCTTCCTCTCCAAGCCTCCTGCCACCTCACACAGCTCAGGGCACCCAGAAGGCATGCATATATTTAATTTAAGACATTTTCTTTAGTGAAAGGAGAATAATTTCAAGTGGTACAAAAGGAGACTTTAACATAGGAGGGGCAGGTATTGTGTAGAAAGGGAACAGCTTTTTTTTTTGCAGCTTTTGGCCAGGGCTGGGTTTGAACCTGCTACCTCCAGCATATGGGGCCAGCGCCTTACTCCTTTGAGCCACAGGCGCCGCCTGGGGAACAACATTTAAAGGCAGATTCCTTCTTGACAATTCATGGTAACTTTTTTAGTCCCCCAAAATCCATATTGTCACTAGGATACAAATTCCCCTTCCCCTTTCATCATGCTGATTTACATGTCCTAGTCAACTAAAAACTAGCCAGGGATACCAGAGGTCTATCTCCAAAAATGAGATGAAGAGGGTGATCAGAAAAACAGCAGGTCAGCCACAAAATAACTTCATGTTTGTTTTATAATTCGATGGAATCTCCTTGACCCTCACCTTTATTTGAATATTATGAGCAATGTGTGCCATTGCAATAGCTATTAAGGGTGAGCAGATTAATTAAAACTATAATTATCTGATAAGACTAGCGTACTGACTAACCCGAGTTAGGGCAAATTCATCTAATTCAACTGAAAATGCTAGACAGAAAAAAAAGGTGAATAAATAAAAAAAGGTGAACAGTAACATTATCGGTCTTGTTTTCACTCTGTATTTTCTAAGTAACCCAAAGTATTCAAACAAAAGAATCACTGTGTTTTTAATTTTTATTAATAAGAGTTCTGAATACAAATAAATTTGACATTTAGAAAAAAGATTCACTGTTTTATTTGTAACGAAAAACATGTTCTGTACATTTTAACCTCCAATGTTAATGCTTAACACCATAATGCTTTTAAGAATATAACTTAATTTTAGGTTTAATTTTAATAATTCTGTCTTGTTGCATCTGGCTGAAGAGACCATCAGGTAGAAAAAAAGCAAAAGACTAAAATGACCCGAATAAAAAACCTTACTGGAAAGATTTTTTAAATGCCTTGATAACAACCTGAAAATTAAAATACTTTTGTCAGGAAAATTAGCAACTATGAACAAAATTAACATTACATAATATTTTATCAAAACTACATTAAAAATACTGTGTTTTACATATATTAGAATGATTTATAACACAGTACATGCTTACTTATATCAAAAGCATAAAAATCTTTTTACTAAGAAAACTTTTTAATATGGTTTAGCACTTCGGGGAGATCCTGTTTCCAGTAAATGACAGGAACACAATTTAGAAAATGAAGATGATAAGTGGCACATCTTTAATTAGAGACCTAACGAAGGAAGTCAGTCTTGTCTGATAGTCACGCAATAAACTTCAAAACTAAGCATTTGTAAGACCTCAGCACAACATGGTCACTCTCCTCCTCAGTGTGTATGGTTGGCATCAGAAATCATACTACCAACAAATACACAGGAAAATTTTTTTAAAAGCTCACTTTAGAATAAGTGCCAACCTGAGTGCTTTATTCTTCCCAGGACACTATTTCTGCCTCTCTTCATTTTAATAGTGTTTTCTCCTTGGTCGGTGGTGCGTTTCTGCTTCTTAAAGACCAATCACACCCAGCATAATCCAAGATCACTAGCTTGTCTACAGTTCAAGTGAACTACAAATAGCCGATGCATCTCAACAGAAAATGGTCCACTCCACTCAGCAAGGCAGAAGGCCCATCTCTAAAAAACTTTTATCAAAAGTTACTTTAAAACGAGTCCTGTAAGCCCAATAGTATTACATCATTGCTGCCTCCTTGGTTTGAGGAAAAGTTCAAATCTTAAAAGCACATGTTAAAATTCCCAAATCACATTACTCTGGAAACATAATTGAGTTGAAAAGTCTTTCTATATTAGGATAAAGTTTCTTCTATTCCTTGCATTTGGTATGAAATCTTATAGCCAGTCACTGAGACACAAAGGGTATAGGAGAACAGGAGAGGGATTTCCCTGTACCCAAGCTTCTGAGAGCCACAACTCATAGACGGATTCACGGAGGAACTGTCCACACAAACAGAGAAATGTCTTCTGAATTCAACCTAATATTCTAACAGAGTTATAGGTAAGTGATTTCTGGGAAAATGTAATTAGAAAATGAGCCATACTTAACTGGGGATACTTGCAGGGGAATGGGTAATCCCAGTGCTGCGACTGCTACCACACCAGAGCAGCTCAGCCTCACCCAGCCACACATACGGGGTTTCTAGGCAACAGTGGGGCTCCACCACCTGGGAGCCACACTCCCCCCAGAGCCCATTCCCTTGAATTTCCATTTGGCAATCAGTGGGAAGACTATTTATCCCAGTGAGAATATGATCAAAAATAAATACACAAATAGAGATAAACGTAGGAAATGAACGCCACCTCCAACAAAGTAGAACTTCCCATAGAGCTGGTTGAAGATGGGGGATCTGTGTGTAGCAAGGAAGTACGAGGTATCTCTATTGGGGGGTCATTCAGAAGAGCGTCATTCTTGGCCAGCTAGCTACAGGGTGTGTTTATGATCTACTTCTTTTTAATGACACTGTATTTAGCTATTAAAAGTCATTCCTTAACAAGGACTTTTTAACATTTAAAAGTTTATAATAAATACCATATTAAAATATGTGAATATTTACAACGGGAGAAACGTCAGTGTTCCCATCAGTCACCTCAGCGCTACTTCTTCGATTTCGTCGTCTGCAGGATCAACGGCTTTCACTGCTGGTTCGTTGTCGGCATGCTTTAATCGGTGTCGGCTTGGATTAAAACTTCTCCCTTCACCGAGGAAAAAATCTTCTTCTTCATCGCGGTCTCTACCCCTGCTGCTTCTATCCCCAGGGAGAATATTTAGAGGGTCAAAGTCTGCTCTGCTGGCAGCCAGAGAATGTGGGTCACTGCTTTTAGAAGAAATGGTGCTGCTGGCACTGGCACCAAATAGCTGTTCCATCAAATGAGCCTTTTTCTCTTTTCTTACACTGCCTTTACTAAGTGTTTCCATACTGTCTTCTCTCGGGAAATCCAAAACACCGCTTTTTTGGCTAAAAAGATCTAACTTCTCTGATGTTTTTGCAAATGAAGGTACATAGCTACCAAACATAAAGTCAGCTGGAGAGGCTGGACTTCTACCAGTTCCTGGATCCTGACCCTCCCCTTTTGGAGTTAAAAAACCGATATCTTGCAAATGACGCCCATTATATAATCTCTCCGAGGACTCAGAGAACGGGTATGCTTTGGGGCTTCTCTCTGGGGAGTGCAGTTTTGATCCCAAGTCTGGCAGCAATGGCAGAGGAGGCCCTTTCAGACTCTGGGCGTCCTGGATCTCTCTGCTGATCTCGTCCAGCTTAGCCAGCAGCATCTCCCTCTTCAGCCGCTCCTCCTCCTCCTCTGCCAACCTGTCAATGTTCTGAATGTGGTGCGGTCCCAAGTGGTACCATCCAGTTTCCAATTCTTCCCTGTCCAGTAAAGATATCTTTTCTTTTTGCTTTTTATCAAGTTCTTCTCTTTCCCACTCTGTATGAAATCAAATTTTTAAAATGGGATTTTATAACAGTCAATATTTTTTAAATAGGAAAACTCAACTACCATCTTTAAGAAATAATCGTATTTACCTAGATGGGTATTAACAAGTACAGTGAGAAAGGACATCATGAATTTCATTTCTACACCTGATGTTCTGTGTGTATACATATTTAACACACATCGCACTTAGGATTCACATTTATAGAAAAAAACTGGTTCTTCAAGATAGGGGTGGGGAAAGAAGGTTCCCTTATTTTTTTAAAACTAATATGGTGCTGTATCCTGAATGGTGGGTGGTGGTATGATAAACAAATGGATGGATGAATAGATGGAGCAAAAACTTTTAAACTTAAAAATAAATTAAAATTTTGGAAGTCAGAAGATGCATTAACCTGAATCAGATTAAGAGAAAGCCAAATAAGGGTTTCACACAAACCCCAAATAAGGACCATTCTACCTTAGCAGTGGAGCTGTATCCACCAAGTGTTATTCTTATTATATATGTGACATGCATCATGTATCTGAAAGGTATCTATCACATTTCTATCATATGTGTGTGTGTGAATTCTCCTCCAGATTAAAGGGGACTACACACAGACACACA